ATATAAGCACAACTCCTTTATAAGCACATTTTTTAAAAAAATTATTATGTGCCCAACTGTGTGATTATATGGGAGGACTACTGTATTACATATAAGGACCCAATATAACTGTGGCTTGATCGTTATTAGCATAAGAAATATGCATCGATAAATGTAGAAAAGAAACTTCTTTAAATTTAATAAATCTCATTTCCTTTGTATAAAATTGATTATTATAATAACAAACCACTATGATGTCAAGTAAAGCACTGCGAATTGGCATAACATTTACTATTTGTTTAGCTCTTGAGAACTTCTATTACGCGTTTATTTTGATCATTAAAGCAGAGCGCTTCTATCAAACATTTGCTAAGTAAAGTCGGTGGGAAGTATGATTCTTTTTCGATTCTTTTGAAGAGTGAATACTAACGTTCGTCTAAATCTATCAATGACGGAGGTGATTTTTGTCAAACGTTACGTTCTCAAAAAGTACTCTAAAGTGTATAAATAAGTTACCCAGGTAATTGATTTGCATCAACCAATCAGACGAAAGTTCTTCTATGAGATAAAGGTAACACGTGCTATAGAAACGACTAGAACACTGATTGTTCATGAGTTTTCAGGGGTTAAGATCAACGATTAGCGAATAACAGGTTTTCCCTGTGCATCACTCATTTGTCATTTCGGCATACTAAAATATTTTCGCCATATTAAAATAATTTCGACAGACTAAATTATTTACGTTTTACAGTCAAAAATAATTTTAGCAGTCTAGATTTACGCCAAGAGCAAAATAATATAGACACCCATGTATAGAACACCAGCGGAGATAATACATGATGTTCTAACTTGTATCCAAGATCGATCAGAAGAACCCGCAACGCGCGTCGAAAAATTAGGAAGCTTAGTACGATTAATAAAAAATCACGAAAGATTAAAATATACATATGACGCTGAACCTTTTTTAAGGGGGTACGTCGTTAAAAATGTATGAGTTTATCAATTTGTTTTTCATGATAACCGTCTTATAAAATTCTCGATCAGCTTGAGATTTTGTGTATCGGACTCAGTAAAGGAAGTAAGAATTGCTGGGTATCGTGCATTACGGTATTTGATCGCAGATGTCATCACTCTAGAAAAAATTATAAAGCTACATTATGAAATATTTATAATGAGGTATGTTAATTAAAGTCATTACATAAACACTACTTAATTAACTAAAATTATGTGGGACTATTAAATTTAATAGGTCTTTGGCAAAAGACCCACGTGTATACAATGATGAGCGTGAACAGGTACTGAAAATTATAAGAACATTTGCTGATGTACCAGGCGGAACAAAATATATACCGCTTGGTGTGTTACGATCTATTGTTTCTATAGCTGAACTTCCAGATGAAAAACTACGGAACATATGTTTAGAAACTTTGGCAGAAATAAGTATGAATAATATTGTTAGAATGTTATTTAATTAGGGAATTTTGGTAAATTTATTCTGTAAAATCATTTAATTAGTGATTCGTGAACCGAAATTAATTACTCATGGTGGCGGGATGAGAGTACTATTGCAAGCTTTAATCGATGGCCCCCTTGAACTTTCAGAATATTTAATGATGGCACTATTATACGTAATTGATATGCCAGATTCTCGAAATTGTATAAGACCCGGTGTGGATTTGGAGGTTTGTTATTACCTAATATTTATATATCAGATCATTTTTAATTAATTCATATTAACGACTTTTATTTAGATCGTTCTTTCAGGATTTACTGACGCATGCAACAAAGGTCCAAAATTTGACCAGAGGATAAGAGCTAGTTCAAGAGCTATATCTGTTCTGTTGAAGTCTTGGACAGGAATTATTTATTTATGCATGGATAATAAACAAGCAATAAGATCCATTGTTGAATCTTTAAGAATAACATCGGATGAAACGCGGGTTAGTAGGTGTCAGATTTACTTATAATTGATTATATATTCTGTTACTTATTTTTATTGATAAAATTTTGAACTGTATATGACCAAGCGTTTCTTATTCAATTAGAACTTTTTTTGACAAATAAATAGGAAATCATGCTTGATATGTTTTTTAACATTTTTCGAATCAAGATACCACACTGGTATCCAAGTTTTTTATCTGGAAAAAGGATCACGGGTATGTTTCTAATATTATAACTTAATTAGGTATTCGCATATACTAACATTTAAACCAATTTATTTGTGACGATAGTATATGGACTCCTAACACCCGAAAACAATAATAATGGGGAACTACCACCTCCTGCTTCTTCATGCCAAGACAGGCTAAATTTACTGGACCATCATTTGGTTATATTATTAGATATCCTTATTGATGCTGGGCTCCTTGATGTATGTGAAATTGCTTAACTCTGTGACAAATATATCTCAAATTGTTAACATATAAATTCCAAAAACATAGGCTTTAGTTGAGATTATCGAAGACAAAAATCAACATAACGCGCGTAAAGCTACCCTTTTTATTGGTGAAATTCTTCAATTGTCTAATCGATTATTATCTTTGTCTCGCTCGATGAAAATACAGGTAAGGCACACGATGGTGGTTTCCAATTAGAAATTAGTTAATTATATAACAACATATTGTTATCAGTCTTTACCTAGACTCTTCAGTTTAGCCACAAAATTTGATGATGAAATTGTACGACACAGTGCCACTGCTGCGCTTTCACATATTGATAATTTGAATCGTACGCGGAACCGTTTTCAACCAAACATTGGAGAATCAGATGACACATCTATTGGCTCACCAAATCGACGAAGACGTAATGCGCGTCAAGTTGAAAATGTAAAACTTAAAATGGGTATACAAATCGATGACGTCCATTTTAGAAACATGCTTTTAGAAACTCAGGTAAGTTTATGTTCTCGTCTTCAAATATTGAAATATCGACCTAATTATTTTTTTTAAATTTAGGTTCTCAGTACTAAAGATTATGTCAAATGGAACTGGGAAACTACTATGGAATTATTGCAAGGCCCATTATTAAACCCTCGTCGGTTAGAAGAGGCAATAAGGTCCAAATTTATGAAACGGCTAATTGGTTTTTTCAGACCAAATAGCCGACGGTTTTCGGAAATTGAGAAAAGCCTGGTATTTATATGAGCAATATCTAAATTCGATGAACATTATGTTGTTTATTTATGTCTTTCGACACGACAATTGGATCTTTATATGTTAGGAAACCGAACGCTATGTTCAATTAGGATGCACGCTTATAACGACTCTTCTTGCAAATTTTGATGGTGTCAAATATTTAGAAAGCAACAAGTTCTTGAGGCAGATTTCTGATAATTTAAATCAACTCGTTCCACCGGTATTTAAAATTTTTTTTTTTTTGTTTAATTTGTTCGGGAACTTTAATATAACGCAATTTATCTATAATTAACTAGATGAACACGGGTTTTGAATCAGAGTTTTTTTCTAAGGAACGAATTAATAATACATTGACAAGTGGCTACTTCACTATGATAGGAATACTTAGCAAATTCAAAGATGGGGTCAAGTGAAGTTTTTCTTCTTTTTTTTTATTTCTTATGTCCTAACCTAGTTCATTATTAATGTTGGATATGATTTATAATTATAAAGGTTATTGGAGAAATTTAAAATTTTCAACACATTCTACCAATTAAGCGAACTGAAAAGCCGTGAAGATTTGATTAAATCCGTAATTACAAATCTGGACTATAATTTGTGCGTTGAATTATATGCGAAAATGTTTAAAAAGATTAAGTTTTGCGTTATTTATTTATTTTATTTTATACGTCACTTAGAGATGGTCATCCACGAATTCTTCTTTCTAAAGTGATGACTTCTGGTTATAAAGTGAGTAATTTTATTTGATTGTGTTGTTATCTTGAATTATAACTTAACAACTGCATGGTTTTTATCAAGCGCGTACGACTATATGCCACAAAACACCTTGGCTTAATCCTGCGAACGTCAGTCCAAAAATTTAATGAATGGGCAATACAACTACTTATAACACAGGTTAAAATAATAAATTATTACTCTTAAATCGGAAACTTCAAAAGACTAACAAATAAGTTTATAGCTGTATGATCCTGCAATGGAAGTTTGTCAAATGGCAGTGCGTGTTTTGGAAGAGACATGTAATCACAAAGAGAATATAGAATTACTTGTGAAATTGCGACCCAGCTTGGACAACTTGGGAGAAGTTGGAAACCCACTTTTGTTAAGATTTCTGTCCACTTCAATCGGATTTAAATATTTATCAGAATCTGATTACGTAGAAAAAGAAATGGATGATTGGTTTCAGGTTTGTTATAAATGAAAATAACGAATTTATAAGGTTATTATTATCAAGAAATGTTACTAATATTCTAGTTCTGTGTGGAAGTATAGAGTGGCAATCAATATTATGTGACACAACTTGAAGTATCTTTATCAAATGCATTAAGAATTGATGGAGAGGAAGCACGAAGTGATGACGATGATAAAGATGTGAAAATGTGAGTTAATTAAAAGAGATTATTTATTTATGTCATTATATATCTGAAAGGCTTCTGAGAAGTTTATTTATACATACATGATAGAAGTATGTTTGATGGAATATCTCCTGCCCATTTTTATGGAGAATTAACAAAAACGGATGAAGGGTGCCAGCTTTTAAGAGAGAAAAAGCACTTTAGCGAGTTTGCAAATTACATAAGAGAACATAAAGAGGAAAAGCGTGATGCTAATATTATATCGAAATTGAAGTCGATTCTCTGGGCTGTGGTAAGTTATAATTATCTGTACGAAAGGGCCACACTTATTTTAATAGATTCTTAGATTAGTTATCGTAAAATATTTACATTAAAAGCAAATATTTTTTTCATGATATAATATTATATACCTTACTATTTAAGGGCAATATTGGTGCATCTAAGAGTGGGCTACAATTTTTGGAAGAGGAAGATATCGTTAAAGATATTGTATATATTGCTGAAAATTCTGAGGTTCTTTCACTAAAGGGGTTAGTATTCATTAACATGGGAGGAGTTATTAAAAAAGAGATCATTTTTTCGTTTAAAAAATTTAAACTACCAGACCAATTTTGACAAATAAATAAAATATATTTTAATTGTATAAATATATAGAATTAAATTTTTTTAATCAAATCTGGTTTGGATAGAGCTTTATTTTCATCTGTTAAACTCAATTAAAATCGGTTTAGCATATGAAAACTAAGACCGGTTCCAAACTTTAGTCTGAGAGCTTGAGATTTTTAATTAGAAAAAATTTATCCTTTTTCTGCTGACTCCCTTCATTTCATATCAAATATCAAGTATTTATTATCAATTTTTATTTAGGACATGCTTCTTTGTATTGGGTTTAATTGCTAAAACTGCACCTGGCGTTGAAATTTTGGAAGAATTAAAATGGGAATGTGTATATGATCTAGAAACAGGTGCTGGTACTGGCTTTTGCTGTCCCATGGACTCTAAAGCTTTTCTTTCGGTAAGCTTAAGTATTATTTTTATATTAAAGTTAATTTCCTCAATTTATAACTTCTTTTAAATATTCTAGTTTCCACAATGGACATACAAAGGTTTCGAGACAGCACCAGATATACATGCTAAGCCCATAATTCCAAGCACTCAAGCAGAAAGAGATTTATTGAAAGCTATGACAAATTTAACAAATAGAATATTATCGAGTACCGGATCTAGAAGCTTGTTAAAGTATGTAATTTATTTGACAAATTTTGTGAGGTAATTCATATCGTGATTAAGATATAATGCCTATTACAATAGGATAAGGTCGCAACACCCAGAAATCTTCAACCAATTAAGTACTTATCAGAAGGTAATCCAAATGCTATCATCATATCACTATCGTTTACCCACACGACGTATTATCTGCGAATTATTTAATATAAATTTCACAAAAGAAACATTTGATCAACTCGATAAACTTATGGAAGTACGTAATGGTTGTGAGGGTGTTAATGGGGTTTCTGATGATACATTAGAAGATGGCGGTGGTACAGAAGATGCAGATGCGCAACTACATAAACAAAGAGTAGAAAATTTTTCTAGGGTGCATCGTGGTAGCGATGGTGTTATTGCTGTTATGTCGGACGATCAGATGGACGGGGGTACGGAGGAAACTGTTCCGAAACAAGATTTGTTACCTGCTAAAATTGTCATAGGTTTTAATACTACGTGAACATTTATTTATTCTGGTTGTATGCCACATTTTTTTATAAAACTATCATGTGAATTTTTGTATAGTATACATTTATTATTATTTTTTAGTTATACGAACCAATTTTGGACTATATATTCTTGAGTTATCTTATTGAGCATGGAACGCGAAAATTATGAATTGGACAAAGTAATAATATGATTTATTCGCCAAATATTAAGAATTAAATATATATCATATATCATAGATTATCTTTGATAGCACAATTATTACAATTTTTATCTCTTCGATGTATAACACATATTCGCTATCATATTGTAACATATTAAAGTTATATCACGATCATTGATTCTTAAAAATATTTCGTGGTTTAAGGAATTGCTATTTAAATAAAGTATTGAGATAATTTTATTACCAAAACTATCACTTTGATAAGACGATTTCAATGAGCACAAAATCAGGTCACTGGATCATAAGTTTAAGAACGCCCGTAGGGAGTCGTTGGGGTGTTTGGTAGGGTTGCGCCTAAACTACCGTATTTTATGGGCCAAACCACCTCCCTATCGGATTTTGCGGATATTTTAATGATGCATATCAGATTTGTATCACTACAGACAATTGCCGTTATGTCATTATTACAACAATTACCGTTACCAAGTAACTGTTCACAATTTAAATTAAAACAGAGTATTTGTTATTTCACCATTAAATATTGTCATATATAATTTAGAAGATAGTATAGTTTGTTTTATTTTCTTAGCATATAATCTTTATTTTGATAATTATAATAAAAGAGATTCATAAGAACAAATAAATCTCTTTATTTATTAAACAGTGAATTATGTCTTTTTTATGAATTTTTTTAGTTATATTTGTAAGAACAAATGGATCATTTTTAGCTATATTTGCAAAAACAAATGGATATTTTATAATAAATATTATATATATATGATACAAAAATGATCTTTTTTTTTAAAAAAAAATGACACCTTTATGTAATAAAAGTATTTCTAAAACACATAATAAAAAAATTAAAAAGAAAATGAAATTCTCATGAAAAATTAAACATTATTACTTACTATAAATAAAATAAAGCAAAACTAAGTATTAATGAAATATGTAAAGTTTTTAGAATCTAATTAAATCAATTACATGATTGAATAATAAAAAAGATAAATTAATTAAAACTTTACTAAAAATATTTAAGTTACACAACAGACACCCATCTTATTATTTACAAATTAAACCAGTTTTATTTAATTGGATTATAGATCAACATTAATTATAAAATGTTATTACTAAAGAGACAATAACTGCAAAGACAATTTTATTTATAGGTTAATTAAATCTTTAATTATTCAAAACATCAAGTAATTGATTTAAGAATTATTATAATTTATCATTTTGATGTTAAACAACTATTTTATAAAAACTATCTAAAGATTTAGAAGAACAACAACAAAATTTTTTTAATTATATTTTAAATTTACAAATTCATTATAATTATCTCTTATGCTTAATAGAAAATATGAACAAAACTCCTTTCACATTTTTTTGATTTACCAAATCTATTAATAATCAAGACTTGAGGAACCCATATTATTAGTATTTGAACTACTGGTTATGAAAAAAAATTTTATAATTATTTTTGTGTATCTAGTTGATAAAACAAAACTACTATATATATATTTTTTTAAAAAAAAACCTTAAGTGAATTTTTCTCATAATGTTTTTGTTTAGATAAATAAAAAGATTAGGTTAATAAAAATAAAATGTTATGATGGATTAAAAATATTTGGATTAAAAAAATATCTGACAATTCATGATCTTTTTTAATACTTGACTTTTTTTATATATATTTAATAAATCTAGTTAAAGAATGTTTGCTTATTTATAATACAAATATAAATATAATTTTTAGTTAACTTATATCTAAGTTACAGCCACTAGATATTAGTATTAATAAAATTTTAAGTTAAAAATTTGGGTATTTTATAATTATTAAATATCAGAAACAATTTATAAGCTAATTTCTTTAAAATGTATTAAGAGACTATAGGTGAAAGTTGTCTAGAATTTACTTGAATCAAGTTTAATTAGACATTCATTTGATTGTTGTAAAATTTAATTTTTTTATTATTATTTTTTGTTAGTATTATTACATATAAATCAACTATTATATGTATTCTTTAAATATCTATATAACTGATAATTATTTTATAATAAAGAGGTAGTTTGGACTATAAAATATAGTAATAAAATCAAGCATTAATTTAGTTCTTTTAGATTTTTATATTATATGAAATTTTGTAGATTTTAAATATTTTTTTAAGCATATTTTAATAAAAAAAAAATAAATATTATTTACATTATATAGAATAAAATATTGAAATAAAAACTGCAATATTAATAAATAAAGTAGTTAAATTTTAAAAAAAATAATTTTATATATTAAATATTTAGTTTTAAATATTTAACTACTCTATATATAACTATTGCAGATTTTTTAATTCTGTAAACATAAATAATATTTAAATATACAGTGTTTAATAAAATATACTTTAATTTTTTAATTGCTAATTAAAAAAAATTCAAAATTAAATATAAATATTATAATTTATAAAATTGTATTAAGAAATATATAATTATATAATTTAAAAATTAAGGCACTAAGAGGATGGTAATCTTAGTATAGTAGTTAGGTTGTTATCTTTTAAGTGGCAGGTCTAAAGTTCAAATCCCATTTATAATAAAATTTGAAAATTATATCTATATTACAGTAACTGTCTTCTGTTGATCAGTTGGCCTCTTGTGGTTGTAACCCAAGTATACCAAATTAGTTTCTATTGATATTGGGAGCTTATAGCATCTATGCAAAGTGTAACATTACATGTACATAGAAGAATGTATAACCAGTGTTGCATAAGACTTTGGTGCAAACTCATAATAAGACCATCATGTGTAGAAGACTAAGAAACTGAAGCAACAGAAACCTACTTGAAAATTCCTAAATAAAAAGATAGCATGAACTTTCAATAGTATTATCAGACTGGTTGAAGCTCATGAAACATATTCATAGTGTTATAGGATAGATTTCTATTATTGTATTATTTATTAGTTATAGTTACTTTAATGCTTTAAACATTTTAATGTCTTAAGCTTGTGAAACTAGTCGCTTAGTTCCTTAGTATAACTAGTCGCTTAGTCTTTTAGTGTAACTAGTTGCTTAGTCCCTTAGTGTAACTAGTTGCTTAGTCGCTTAGTTGCTTTGTCACTTAGTCACTTAGTCACTTTGTTACTTTGTCGCTTAGTCACTTTGTTGCTTTGTCGCTTAAACCCAAAGATATATAAACTTTCTAAATTTCCCCAAGTAAAAAGCATTCAATTCAAATTAGTTCAGTCCCAAGAAACAGACAATTTCTCTTCTTCTTTATCCTGTAATTTATATCCTGAATCCTTTAGGACAGGCGCCTAAGGATAATCCTTCTTACAATTCTTTAATAAATAACTTTAACTATAAACTACTATGTAATAATTATTGAACTGTCTCAGAGATGGGTATAGTTTCTTGACAATATCTAACAGGAACTATACTTTCCTCTTGGACACCACATAGAGTCCCTGTGTCATGTCATTGTTGTAGTGTGGAAATAAGAAAGCTTCTACTCTATAACATTTGGTGCCTTCTGGCGGAAATATAAAATAATTTTTGAATGATTATAATAAACCTTTCCTGATAGAAAAATAAAAATTATTTCCTTATTGTTATTCTTTAATATCTCGATGAATTTTTATTCTATCTTTAAATCTCACCTTCTTTAGATTCTTGAAGCTTTTCTTTACATTTTTATATATAGATTACTTAATACAAAAACGCTTCCCTGATCCTCTATAGATCGTTAAAGTTTTAACTCCTTTCTTATTACAACAATTTCTTTGAAAATTTTCTTTTTCCGAATATTAGTACACAAACTTTAACCCTTAATATCTCACTATTCATTTGTCCATTTTGGATGAACTCACCTCCTTTAGATTCCTAGAAACTCTCTCTACATTTTTTATCTAACTAGTAAGACTTATTAACATAGTACCAACATCGAGAAAAGGAGAAAAGACAGAAAGAAAAGAAATTTTACAGTAATGATTTTGAATATATTTTGTTTTTCTTTAATATCTCCATGAGTTTTGATCCTACATAGATGAAACAGATATCATTATATTCACAGAAGGATGCCCTACAATTTTTATTATATTATATCATAATACAAAAATGCTTCTCTGACTCGTAAATAATTTCCAAACTAGTGACGACATTTTCTTACGTCTATAGAACCTTTCTTGGAAATGACAAAAGAAGAAAACAAAAGAGATTCGGGATTTCTTTAAATCACCATAGAACGTTGACCACTGGACCAAATTTAACATTTCAATTACCATTAAAATTGTAGAAGTCTGCTCTACAACTTTAATTAAGGATCTAAGATATAATTACTTAGTACCAAAATTATATTCGGGATACTTTTGTAAAAATATATTCTTGAAATGATTTTCCTTTATTGTGCCATAGAGATGAAAATTTTTTAAAAAAAATTTTTTTCAGACCTCAAGATATTATATGATATAGAGATATCTCATTTCTTTTTAGTTCTATACTGGTTAGAGATACTAAAAGAGATGACTATTTGATCATTACATCTAAGAAATAATGACATATTGATATGAACATTCTTTATAACAATTAGTATAATTGACTATTAAACTATTTCACAAAGACATTTTTTTTTAAATTTTATTGTTTAGTTTAGAATAAGTCCTGGATGAAGGTAGTTCCCAGGTCTCTCTTTCAATAAAAAGATATTTAGTTTAGTTTAGAATAAGCTCTGGATAAAAGTAGTTCCCAGGCTTCTCTTTCAACAAAAAACATTTTTCAAGACAGTTTGTTATTTCTGAGCAAAAGTGACTGATGGTTTATTTCTACCCTTATAAAAATAATTTCAAGACAATTTGTTATTTCTGAACAA